AAGGCAAGTAAAATTTAAGACTTTTTAAGACCTAATTAATGCCACTTATAATGAAATTTAAGACCAAATTTACAACAAAACACACATGGACAAAGCCCAGTTAGCAACAATTTTAGCCAAACATTTAAAGAAAACGAGCTGTAAGAGACATATGATTAAAAAGAACAAATAAAAGTTACCACTTATTGTAATATTTGAGACAAATTAGTCATCTTATGTACAACGTGTTAACATTTTTAAGACCTCTGAAAGATTGATTTAAGACATTTTAAGGCTAATTAAGGCCTTATCTTTAGACTGATCAATTCAATGCCTTATTAGACTTTTTAAGGATCCGCAGGAACCCTGAAAAAGTGAAGTTTTATAATGTCCACACTGGTGAGGGTGGGCGCGCCCTGCGAGTACCCAAAGCATGATGCCGTGCTGTTGAAATGTCTCTTGTCGGGGAGGGGTCTATGGGTGAGGGTCATGAGGAGGAGGAAAGAAATTAATGAGATGCGTGAACTTTTATTTAATATTTAATTTTTTTTTATTTCAAGGCTCCTTCTGGCTCCGTAGTAAAATCATAAATTATACTGTTAATAAAGATGATGATAAAGCTGAATAAAAATCTAAGTCTGATTATGAAGTGAAATTAAATATCTGACAGTGATCATTATGTCTGTGGCTCTGATTCCTCACTTCACCATCTGTGTCGCAGTTTCACGTCTCCAAAATGAGCGTACGCATGCGTCAGAGCTGGCTGAGGCACCGTACATTTTCACGTCAAGTTTGGATTTTATAAATCACAACCTTGGCGTGAAAAGTGGCTTACACAAGTTTCTGGGCTCATATTGTGTGTACGCAGTTTTTATAAATCTGACCCCAGATCCCTTGATATTACAGATGAGACCCCAGTCTGTTGATAAGTCTTCTGCTCCGTCCATCATCACTTGGGAACAGATACTTTATCTTCTCTGATTTTGGGCAGAGACTCACCTTCAACCCATAGGGGGGTCATTTAGCCTTTTTACTGGTTGAGAAGCATGGCCTCAAACTTAAAAGAGTTGATTCTCATCCCAGCTGCTTCACACTTGGCTGCAAACTGCTCCAGTGCACACTGAAGGTCATGGCCAGAGACACCGAAGGAGCCACATCATCTGCAAAAAGCACAGACAAGACCCCGAGTTTTCCAAACGTGACAACTTCCTCGCTGCTTTTGTCTTTCTTTCATTTTTTGATGTGTTGCTGGTCTCAAATTTTAGACTGGTCCAAATTGAAATTAGACAATGAAATGTTTGAAAAACCATTCTTCTGTACGTGCATGAGTTTAAAACTCAAACGCTGAAGAAAATTTAGGATGGCTGTTTTTGTTGCACTTCAAATGTCATCCATCTGTTTTGAAATGGAGTCAGTAGTTCAATAAATCAGGTCAAAGTCTAAAAATGTTTAAGATTACAATTAGAGAATCTAACAGATCCCAAAGTGATCTCAAATGTTCAAGCTCTATTGCACTTGTTGTGCTTTATTACCAGCTTATTAAACCCTCAAATTTAAAAGCCCAGGCACCTTATCAAATGAAAATGCATAAAAACACATTTTGTGTTTTGTGCTGTCAAGTGAAACATAAATGATTCTTAGTTTGAATTCAAACGCAACTTTAAAAGAGAATTCAAACCCACATGTTTACTCACACACCCAACCGAAACACCTACAATCACTACATCAAGCTTTGTGTCCAAATGTCATGCAAACTCTGTTGTGCCTTATTAGCGCTGGTTTCTGGGTCATGCTGGGGTGTCCCGCATCATAGAACCATGAACATAAATCACAAAGGACAGAATTGGAGGCATTCTTCCATGACCTGCTGTAGACAAATATATGCAGACGCTGGCTGATAATTGCTGTGATAACAGATATATCTGCTTTCACCGAGTGTGATGTTACAAACAAAAACATTTAAATATAGATGCAGCTTGTTATGTTTTCCACTGATACTTCAAAACAGTTTCAGGGGGATATTTTTTAATGTACAGTAACTAAAAACAAATAAAGATACGTAGAAAAAAAATCTGAGGCTTCAGTCTTTGAAGAGGGGTTTTGCTCAGAGTGCCGTTTAATTTTAGTAATAATGAATGCCACAGTTTCATTTTGTCCTGTATTTGATGATTCACTAATAATGTTTAAGTGTGAGACTGTCCTTGAATACCGATAAATGTTCTCAGATTTAATACTTATGGATTCAGAGACGACTGTGTCACTATTTGAAAAACAGGTGGAGGAAAAATCGTTTTACTTTTCGTCTTCTGGTAAAATGAAGTCAAATTGCAGTTATTACTCGATCGTGTTTTAGTCATTTAAACTGAAGTTTAGTCCTGTTCATTCTGATAGAAATCTTGATGAAATAAGATGACAAAAGTGTTGTGATGACATATTATCTTAGCTGTGCGTTTAAAATATCGCTGGAATTTTCCGTCTTGCTCAGAATAATAGCTTTTGGTCACTTCAGATTAACTATAAAAAGGGCCTTTCTTGACCTCTCACACCCAAAACATTTGAAAAGTAAACAGTGCCCTCATTGTTCCCTTCCTCTCTGCCTTTTATCAAGTCCTTGTGACATTTTTTCTTTGTGGGTGCATGTGTGTTTTTTCACACTCGTTTTTTTTTTTTCTGGGTGTGTTTTGATCAAAAGAAAAAAGAAAAAAAATGACAAGTGTATAAGGAAGGTTTCTCTTGAACCTGACAGAAACTGTGACTGTGCGCGTGCAAGCGTGTGTCTCTGCATACGTACAAATGTGTTATTCAATCTATCTGCACATGTGGGAGTGTTTATTTGTTCTTGAGAATATATATATTTATGCCCACCTGCATAAGTATGTGCACATATATAAATGTGTGTGTGTTTGTGTGAACAGTCGCAGTGTTGGGTCTGGAAAAGCGTAGCGCACTAGATTTATTGAGCATGGCGGATTTATGACAGCTGTTTACATTAGAAGCTCTATGAGCATTTTAGCACATCTTTTAGCTTTGAGTGCGTTAGGTGACAGATGGAAGGCTTTTTCCTTCCAGTGTGTAGGAAAGCCCAAAACCACCACCCACCTGAGGACTGACCTTGATGCTGAACCCAACCTTCTTTCTTTGAATATTAATGTATTAAAACACCACATTAATGAAAGCACAGTGTGTGGGCATCTAGTTAGAAAAAGGTCAAAGTTAGCAAGATGTCTGTGCACCATTAACCAACCACTTACTGCAGGCTAAAGAAAGTCTAATCGATGAGGAACAAAGGCATCTGAGTGTATATCTGCTGGAGACAAAGCCATTATCATCGCTGCGATAATCAGCTTCACGTAATTATAAAAGTACCAGAGACAAGAATTAAGAGTAATTACCAAAATTCAAGGCAATGATCCCAATAGCAGCTGTTAAGGACACCTCTTACCTGCTGGAGTCGGGTGTGTAGGTCATAGATTAAGTGTCTGGATGTGAATAGGTATAATTGCCTGAAAGCTCATGAAGTGCTGCAAGACTGGAGTCCAGCTCGGTCACCTGTGAACACACAATTTCCCCATGCCCAAATGAACCTTTTAAGGCATTTCAGCATGTGCTAAACCAACAAACAGTTAGCATTCAGAGATCCCCTAAGAAGTGAAAACACATTACCATCCTGAAACTGACGTTCAGAGTCCAAGTGAAACAAGAAAAAAAAAGTGTTTTTGGTACCGCTACAAAAATAAGGCTTCTGCAGGAAACTAGTTGTTTCTGGCAAACTCCACTGGCGAGGGACGTTTACACGAACAAACTTAAATGTACTCAATGTTCACATAAACATATACAGGAGAGATTTCCATGGGGTATCCCTTAGTTAAACATACACTTCAACTCAATTTCCAGAACAGCACGCCCTTAGATATTAAAAGAACTTTTCATGTTTGATTCTTGTTTTCTCTTAAATAACAATTTAGAATATTCGAGAATTACAGCTTGTAATTGAACATCAGTAAATGTATTTTGCAAAGACTATAAGTCAGTAAGGGTTTAGCTCCTCCTGACTCTTTTAGAAAACTAAACAAACTGCATTTAATTTTTCATTGTTCATATTTACCTTAAAACCCAAGCACACATATATTAATGTGCCCTTTTGTTTATTCTCTCCTCAGGCCTGTACGACAAATGCTTCTACGCCTCCAGTGACCGAGGTTGGCTGCTTGGTATCCAGGCGGTTAGCGAACATGGAAACCGTGACCCTCGATTCTTTTTCTCCCTTAAAACTGACCGTGCTCACAAAGCGACTTCCATCCACTCTAATGTTCGTTACGTGCCCAACCAGTGGGCACATGTGGCAGTCACGTACGATGGCCTGTACATGAAGCTCTTCATCAATGGAGCCCAAGTGGGTGTCAGTCGGGAACAGTCAGGTGATGTCTTCAGTCATTTGACCAAAAAGTGCAAAGTCCTGATGGTTGGGGGAAATGCACTGAATCACAACTACAGAGGGGCAGTGGAAAGTGTGAGTTTATGGAGGCAAGCCCGAAAGCAGAGGGATATTATCAGGGATATGCAGGGCCACGAGGACCTCGAAGATCTACCTCAGTTAGTCATTCGTGAAACCTTTGAGAACCCAGGCCGCAAGTGGTTGACGGTAAAAGATGGCAGTTTTCCACAGTCTGAGAAAGGTGGAGGTGGACGACTGGGATTCTTAGGCAGCATGGGAGGAGTTGAAAATGCCGAAGGAACGTTGGATACAACTCTGGAGATCCCAGTTTGCGGCCAAACCGTGTGCGACAACGTTGACGTCATAAACAACTACAACCAGCTTTGGACCTTCCGTCGGCCGAAGAAAGTGCGATACCGCGTCATAAATATTTGGGACGACGCAAAGAAGAGGCCTACTGTAACAGATCACCAGATCATTCTGCAGCACCAGCAGCTTAATGAGGCCTTTAGTCGCCACAATATATCCTGGGAGCTGAGCATTCATAACGTAACAAATTCCTCTGTACGTGACCGCTTGATACTAGCAAACTGTGATATCAGCAAAGTTGGTGATGATAGATGTGATCCAGAATGCAACCACCCCCTGACGGGCTATGATGCAGGTGACTGCATGTCTGGATACTGGAGCCAGTGCCCTGAACACAAGCAGGGGAACGGTATATGTGACCCTGAATGTAATTGGGAAAATTTCATGTATGATCAAGGTGATTGCTGCAATCCCCATGTGACGGATGTGACTAAGACATGCTTCAACCGCTCCTCTCCACACAAGTAAGACCCCCCTTTTTGCACTTTATTTCACATGGCACATGGTTTTCTTTTTGTTCATTTAGCAAATACAGAACTTCACCAAAAATACCTTCCACTAATTATAACAATCTGAGCTTTACTTGATGAATAGTTTTGTTGACATTATACTACACACTGCAGCCTCACATGTCTTCCTAAAATTAAACAGCAATTCTTTCCATACAATGACTTCTGAAGAATTGTTTTTGGTTAATGTCTAGTCCTACTGCTTCCTGATCATTTGGACTGAAGCTGAGTGTAACCCAACTCCCAGCCTGTGTGGCCTGGGAAATCCTCTGGGGCAGCTAGTCCAATCTAGCCTTGGCCTGGTTCCATCAATGTTCCACACTTAAGAAAGGCAAAACAAATGCTAGAGTGATTTTAATGGCAGCAAATGAGAAGGCAAGATGGCTCATTTTTGCTTGATTGGAAAAGAGAGTTGGATTAAAGAAAGTGACAAGTCAAACTGACTTTGAGGGCAGGGAGAGAACAAGCCAGACAGGCCAGTAAAATTGATTTTTGTAGCAAAACGAATCATCTGAAGAAGCTCTCACAGGTGTCCCAGAGAAACACTTAATGTTCTCTGAACATGGATACTTGAAACAGTTTACTGGTTAATGCATTTCCCATAAATTAGAGATAGTCACAAATTTATTTTTATAATAATAAAGTTACATGTGTAAGAAGAGCTTATTTTTTAATGGCTAATTCAGGATAGTACATAGGTTGTCACAAATAAATGGAAGTTTGTTTTTGTGGTTTCTCCATTGTGGTTTGTAGATGATGAGTAAAATCTGGTAAGGAAAATAAATCTCTGGAATTTGCTGTAAGAAGGTTTTTGCCAGACCTCTAATGGCAGAATTGTTTGTTTCTTTGTGCGCTGAAACTTAGCACAGTAAAGTGAGACATTTTTGTGGAGAGCACGGGGGAGCTTCATGGGTAAAGAAGCAAAAGTTCTAAATATTTGTCAGTATTTTTTTTCTGCTGCTTGATGTGTAAGGACGAGAGAAAGTAAAAAATAAATGAGTAATCAAAATGTATGGGATTTTTTGGGTCTTTTTGATGGCTTGAAATAAGACGGTTTTTGGTCATAATCACGATAAAAGAATTGCTAGTCTTAGCACAAATTCTGAAAATAGCTTGATAATGACATTTAATTAAAAACATCAGCAATAATACCAGATGAGTTTACCATTATTTTATGTTTAAATGCCCACAAATCCTTTCAACTTAAGTCATCAGCAGAAACTCATACATTAAGTGGCAGCTAACTACTTTGTTTAGAGGTCAACTGTTGATAAAGTTTTCTGTAGAATATAGCAAATAAAATAAGACAGAAATGGAATAAAAGTTCTAAGAGACTTCCCATCCCTAATTGTAGATATAATCATCCCGTGATCGTTTATTTTGTTGTGACTGTTTTATGTCTGCAGAGAGCTGAGCTACACACAGTTTGACATTCTTCCTTATGAAATTCTGGGCAAACAATGCAGAGGAGCAATAGTTGTTGGGTCTAAAATTAATTTTTTTAAAGTTTATTTCTTACCATTTGTGTTTTTTTTCTGCCTTTTTGCATTGTGTTTTTCTGTTTGTGTGTTTACACATTCCGATTGGATCCAAAATCGGACAGGATGAGAATTCTTGTTAATGAGGAAAAGTACTATTTTGTGGGTTAGGATGTGGTTTTTAGTGTTATAGTATTGTTAAAAAATAGGTTTAGGGCAGGACTTTGGCATTCCATTATAATGACTGAAGTGTGACTTAAGGAACAGAAGAATGCATCGTGTCAATAGTATCCTATGGGATACAGATGTAAAAGTACATTTTGCCTTCTGTCTTCAGTCCACAAGAAACATTTTTTGAGCAGCCCATGTGACCATTCGAGCTGTAAATAGAGACTAAGCATCTGTCATGCTAAAATTTCCATTAACAAGATGATTCCAAAGAGTAAAGAGACAAAGAAAACTACAACTTTGACCATTGGCAGAAAGAAAACCAACACGGCTGCTTCTTTTAGATGTATGATGTGAAACATGGTTTCCTGTCATTGATAAATGTATACTTTAACACACAAACACTTTAGAAACACAACTGATATAAAATGAAATTGCTTAAAATTGTTTTTTTTATTCAAAGAGATTACTGAGCAATTCACACCTTTCACTAAGGTTTCAGTAATGATTTTGTGTGAGCAGATGACCTTTTTTGAAAGTACTTAAATTTTTTACAGAGTTAGAAATTATTAGCAAATAATCAGTTATGAGTGTTTTTTTTCCCCAGAACAGTTTTATATAAGAAACATCCTCGGAAGAAGATAATTGTTTTATTAGAACTTTTTGTGAGTACCTTAAATTAAAGACACTTCGGGATGACCTTTCAGTCAATATAAAGATTTATATAAAAACTTCTCAAGAAAGTTATTAAATGAATATATTTCAAGTTTTGGCTTGGTGATGTTGAGGGAAATTAGGTCAATTATTTTCGCTTGACCTCTTTTTCTCAGTCCTTTTTGCTCCATAGCCATTAGCCTACACCTCTTTCTTTGGCAATTTAATGGGTGGACCACCCTGTGTCTTTCATGCACTCCGTTTCCCTGCCGTATTGCAGCTAAGTGCAGGGAGCTAACCTCTTAAGCCTGTGACTTGTTTTGTTTTACAGTCGGTCATCTAAACCTTCACCCTTCTGTCTCTTAAACCATAATTAAGTGTCTGAGCACAACTACCAGGACACTTCCTTTTTAAAGCCTAATAAAAACACCTGTTGTCAAAGTTTCGCCTGAGCTTTTATATGGACTGGAGAATGTCTGAGGTAGAAGGAGGACTTATGTAGATCTGGTAGGTGTGAAAGGAGGGGGTTGGGGTTGCGGAGATGGGGGTACTGAGACCAATGTTGGAATGCAGGGGAGTTGCATCTGGCTATGACAGGATAATGTGTCCAGATGCTGCTGGTGGTCTTTGTAAATATTGCACCCCAGGCAATTTGACTGATAATGCAATGGTAAAGCAATTTTACTTCAGAAGGCAGATGAGAGGGTGCTGATGAAGAGGTTCTTCTATTTATACCCAAAATGGGACAGTTTAGCGTGGGACTCATTTATTCGCTCACTGCATATAATTTGATATAGTGTGCTAAAACAACACGCAAAAAGATCTTCTACAATTTTAGCGCACAGTTTCTCCTTTGAAGTGAAATAGTTCTCTGAGGACTAAGCTGGAAGGTTAAAGAAGAGAGTGCAGGCATGGTAATAAACCCAGAGATGAATGATGGGTTTAGGGTCTGTGATGTTGATCGACTCAATGACAGGGAAGCCAAGGGCCCCTGTCAATTTCCAAAGGGTTGTGAGGCCGTCACTGCAATGCCAGCTCATCTCAGCCTTCCAATAATTTGACCTAAACATATGTTTCCAAGGCAAATTTACAGATTTACATGAATTATATGTGGATGTGAATTGATAAAGGTATTTAATATGTTTTAGGTATACAGTAAAAAGCTTGACACGATGGGCTGCTTTACGCCCTCTTAAATAATGAAGTTTCTTTTGTCCACAATCCCTCTCTTCGTAGCTTTTTAAAACCTTCTTTTTCTCATAAGTCTAAAACGTGGTTTTACAGACTATATCAAAAGCATGGGTTTTTCCAAGTGACCTATTAAGTAAAAAAAAAATGAGAGGCAAGAATAAAGATGGGAAATTATGAGAAGGTGAAATTATTAAAAGGTATCAGAAAATAAACACCTGTGGCAGGAAAATTGACAAAGATGTTTGAGTATTATACTTAGATAGATAGATTATCATTATTATTATTATTATTATTTTTTATTAATTTATTTATTTTGAAAATTCTAAACCAGTGGTTCCCAAAGTTGGGGTCGGGACCCACAGTGGGGTCCTGAAACATCAAGGTGGGGTTCTGAAAAGATTTTCTGAATTAATTACATAAAAATTACAATTAACAACAATATTCTGCCTTTGCTGTTACAAAAGAGTAAAGTTTGTGTACCTAAAATGGACAAAACGAGAGTAATAAATATTGTTACTTTTCTCCTGTTTATTTGACATGAAAACAATGTTCATCAACCAACAACAGCTGGGGTCACAGGTCTCTGCTGCTGGTATTTTGTGGGTCAAAAGCTGAGAAGTTTGGGAACCACTAGTCTAGACAGTGCAACTATGTAAACCTTTAAACTAAATTAACTGGTTATTGATCAGAAAGACAAAATCTCATCTAAATTTTCACAAGAATACCAACAAACATTTGAAACTGGAAACAAAATTCCACAATTGAGCAACTTTAAATCTGTTTGTGTTCCCGCTCTTGTTTGGCTCGTTACAGGACCAAAGGGTGTTAATGAACCTGAAACAATTTGAAACATTTTGACCTAGAGTGGAAGTGCCGTTTTCATTCTCAGCTGCTTCAATCAGTTTAGCATCAAACCCCTTTGACCCTTTTCATCTCTGTGCATGTCCAAAAACTCTGAACAAATATTTATTAAGGAAATAATGAAATTCCTTAAATTATTAAAAACAGTGGCCTTGTATCATTTGTTTTTGCTGTCCCACTGACCACCTCTGTTTTTAGACCACACCCTATTGTGTGTCTGTTACTTTTGAATTGGAATTAAAATAAGTAGCAAAACGCTTTGATTATAGATTTGACATGTATGCAGAAATGAAACATTGAAAAAAAAAATCACAAAAAAATAAACACATTGGACAACAGAAAAGCAGTAAGAGATTTTTTCAACAAGTTTTTCTATTTGAGAAAATTAGCTTTTCACTTTGCACATTTTCTTGACAAAAATGCAAAACACAAGTACTAAACAAGTCAGCCAACACAAACAGGGTCAAAACAACCAATGAAGATCTAGTTTGTGATAGTGCCAAATTTGTTATGTTTAGTTTCCGATTTAAAAAACAAGCAAACTGATGTTTGTGTTCCCAATGAATATATTTCTCCGAAGCCCTCTAAAAGTCAAAGAAAAAGACTAAACTATCATCTCAACATGTGCAACAGATTACTTGTTCTTCCAAGAAGACTGATCTTGTTGATTCTGCCTGCCAGGACCACCAGCCAGGCTCACAGACAAAACGTGTTCACAAAGTGAATGACAGTTTCACTGATGCAAAGATATCTCATTATGTTGAGTGATTGCAATCATTAGTGTTACACTTATGGCTCCCAGGGCCTCAGACAAAACATTAGGCCTTAAAGAGGGAGCTACCTAACCATTAATTGAAGTCTCAGGCTGACTTGTGTGAGTCATGCTAAACTAGTATGCTTTCAGAATATTAAAGGTAATATATGCACTGAAATAGATGTAAGTAAAATGTCTTTTTTTTTGCCACAGTAATGTGCATTAATATTAATTTAATCAAAATTTAGGAAGATTTTTGTATTGGACCACATGGCTCACAGATGGAATTTACTCAGTAGCTAAATCTGCTACAGTGCATTTTTTTCTCTTGTGGTTAGTATTCATGGCCTCTTGCAACTAAATAAACATAAAATACTATTTCATGTATATTTAAGGCAATAAAGAAAAAAGTTTTATATTTTATTTCATTCAGAATAAAAAATGACCAATAAAATGTTTATTTATTTATTTATTTTTTGCTATCAGCATATTTCTGGTCCAGCCTGGATTTATATTAAAGTGTCTACTACAAACATGTCCTAGTGCTAGCCCCACCCCTTTTTCTACACTTAGCCACACCCACCAGTCCTTTATTTGATGTCAGAAGGAGTACTGTTTAAAATACTTCAAAATAAGACACCTCTTCAACAGGCTGATATGACATCATTTGTCGCAGGATATTTTTAAGTAAACAGATGTGACAATAACATGCCCAATTTATGGCAAAACAATATAGCAATATTTCACGATGCTTGTTAAGTGTTATCAACAATACTGTGTTTACTGTATTTTCTCATGGGCATTTCTGCCCAACTAACCATCAAATGTCCACATTTTACTAAATTAAAAAGATATTTGTTGTTGCAAAACTTCAAATGGTGAGGGATGTTAACATTGTTGTGCAGCATAGCATGCAAGTGATTTTTATCACACGTGAACTGGACAAAGACAAAATCTTGGCCTACACACTGACAGCTGCAAACAGATTTGCCCAAGCCTTGTTGAAAACAAAATTTACATCCAGCAGACCTCGTAGTGAAGCAGATGGTTAACCATAACATGCACATAAGTCATAAAAGGGTTTCTGAGCCATTTATTTCATTCTCAGAATTTTATCACGATGGACTACTTGTTCCTAATAAAATATAATTTTCATTATAGAGACTTTACCTTAATGTGAAATCTTTTTTTTTCCTGTTTTCCAGAGCCTATTTTGATGTAAAAGAGCTAAAAGAGATTCTACACTTGGATGGTTCGACTCACCTGAATGTCTTTTTTGCCAATTCTTCGGATGAAGATCTGGCAGGGGTTGCCACTTGGCCCTGGGACAAAGAAGCCCTTACACATTTGGGTAGGAAACAAATGATTCACACATCCATGCACACGTACAGTAAAACTCACATACATTCACAGTAAACACACACACAGATTGTTGACTTTGAGTAATGCAGACCAATCAAGCTCTCTTTGTCTTTCTTACAACCCTGTGAGTAGTTACATCTATGTGCATTTATACATTTCTCTGCCTTTTCTGTCCTTGTTCAGGTGGAATTGTTCTGAATCCTTCCTTCTACGGGACGTTCGGCCACACTGACACCATGGTCCATGAGATCGGACATAGCCTGGGCCTGTACCACGTGTTCCGAGGCATATCAGAAATTGATTCGTGCAACGATGCATGCTTGGAAACGGAGCCCTCGATGGTGACGGGAGATCTGTGTGCCGACACGAACCCCACGCCAAAATACAAGGGCTGCCACGATCCCGAACCAGGAAACGAAACCTGTGGCTCTCAGCATTTCACGCACACGCCGTTTAACAACTACATGAGTTACGCAGGTGAGATGGGGTCCTCACGTGGCTTTTATTTCTTAACTGCGCAAAATTTACAGCTGTACCTGTCAAAAACTGAAACTGATCACCGCGGAGGAATTTGGTGAGCATGGAGGCATACAGTATGTGGAGATTTAGAGAAAAACACTAAAATAACTCAGCAGGAGGAAAATTCTTTCATGTCTCCGGATTTATGCCATAGCCGTTTTTTTTTCTTCATTGCATAGAAAAAGATATACTGCTAAATAAACAGGTGTCTTTTTTTACGCATGACTTATTAGTCTTTTTTTTTTTGCAAAGCACTAAAAAAAGTTTTGATGTTTTTCTCATTCATTTGCAATATACCAAATAATATTTTCTGTAAGAAATGTTTCAGGCTTTCCTTTTGTGTTCTACTTTGAAATTCAGTGCTGGCGTCAAACTCAAACTGACTAAAATATGTTGTTTAACGAAGCAATGGCTTTCACACACATTTCACAAAAAGTCCAACTGGTATTTTAACAGATTAATCAGCCTTAAAATCTTATTCCAACACTCACAATATACATGTTTTGTTCACAGATGATAGTTGTACCGATTCATTCACATTGAACCAGGTGGCTAGAATGCACTGCTACCTGGATCTTGCATACCAGATGTGGCAACCCTCCTCCAAACCTACCCCAGTGGCGATGGCGCCCCAAGTTGTTGAGCAACATCATAACTCGATCACCCTGGAATGGCTCCCACCAATATCTGGACAGTTTTACGACAGGTAAAATTAATTATCGCACACTAGTTTAAGTGGTGAAAAGCTGATAGAGATTAGTGGACGATTTAATTAGCAGCTTGTTTTGACTGTGACCATTTTAGAACTTAAAGGCACGTTTTTGTTTCATGTATTTGCAGCCTGTGATACATCTTCAGCTATATTTTTATGGTCTGTATCTAAGTTGGTTACTGTTTCTACTTGTTGGTTTCCTAGAGAAGTGGGATCAGTGTGTGACAAATGTACTGAGGGGGGAGTTCTTCTACAGTATGCCTCCAACTCCTCATCTCCACGACCGTGCGATCCTTCTGGACACTGGTCCCCTCGAGAGGCTGAAGGTATAGTAGTTTTTTTACTCTCTATGCTTTTATTGAAGGGCAGCATTTGGTTTGATGTTGAAAGCCTCTTTGGAACATCATACATACTTAAGCAATAAATGACAAGTAGGGGTCAGCTTGTTTGATTGTGATAAGCTCTTCATACAAAAGCAAATGCTGTGAAAAAGCAAAGTCACATTCTCCCTTTGATCTGCAGCTTAAAGAATGATTACACAATTTAAGGTTTATCTGGTGTTTGGTTTCAGAGTTAAGGCTCCATGCACAAATTTCAGTGACTGACTCAATCCTAAAATAATACGAATGACTCACTGGATTTATGACACTTGGGCCACAAGACAACATGGAAGGATCATACAGGCTGCTTCCCAGTGGATGGTGGTGCATTGTACCACAGAATCCACATAATGGCTCAAACCCCAAACCGAGGTTGATTAATACAGTAGGCACTAAAAAAGCTACAAGTGCACTTTTCAACGTTAGAACCACAACACAGGCACGCTTGCATGGTTTTAAAAGTTATGTATTTCCAGCGACAAAAACAGTTCCATCGTTGCTTCTTTTTATTGCTGTTCTGGCCAGGATCGCATTTTATTTGCAGCTCTACATATGTACATCAGGGGTCTCCAACCTTTTTCTCGTTAAGAGCTACTTTCACAAAAAGAAATTGTCCGAGAGCTACTTTTTGCAACATTTAATTTAAAATATAAAACCATTGGAATAAGCTTGTTTTACACAAAAAAAACTCTGTCTTCAATTCACACAAAACTATTACAAAGAACACTGAATTTACACAAATGTGCTTTTTGTGATTATCAATTCATATCATGTTGTATTTTACACTAATAACTTAGGGTTTAACTGCAATTGCTATTTGCGCACAAATAACTTTGGGTAAGGGGTCTCTGATTTTTTTTTCCCCCACATTTTTTCCCCAGCGGGAAGAAACCCCCTGTAGTGACATATCCTGCAGCAGGAGGGGTTTCCCAGAAGTTTGGCACAGTTTGTCTCAAGGTTCTATGAAAAGTGTGTGTAAAAACGAATGCCAAACAGTCACGTAACTGTGCGTTGTCTGCCGATTGACCATGCTGAGCCCTAAACTGTTTGACAACCAAGGGGAAGGGACATCTATAGACTGATTGGAGTTAAATGAAAGTTTGTTTGGCCAGTGACAAATTAAATTTTGATTCTCTTAATTTTTCATAAGCACTGAAGAGCTACTTTAAATGAGTCCAGGAGGTACTGGTTGGAGACCCCTGATGTACATGATGTTCAGAACACTACCATTTGCAGAAAAAAAAACACGTTTTTTCATTAATGTTGACACTGTGGGCACAAACAGCAACATATTGCTTCAGAGTATCCTTGATCAAAAGTGTTTCCCGACACACAGACTTGTTGAGGCTTCAGGTAAAGATGGATATAACTTTGAGTTACTTTTACATTTGTTCTGCAGTTGTGTTTTATAAGCACACATCTGCAGCTCTGTTTGAATGCTGTTCTGTTTTATGGACTCTAATACAAAATTTTAAACATTTTTTATTAAAACTATTTAGACGGCAGGCACAGTCAGCAACACAATGCTTTAAGAGTTCTGTTAAGAAGAACAACTTTGATGAAGATGTGTTTCCTGCTCAGACTCATTAAGGCTTCCTTCAAAAATATAGAAACAAATCTTTTTACTGCTCTTTGAATGCTCAAAAAGTTTCATTTTGCATAATGTGAGATCAATGCTGATGGATAATTCCGTAGCCCAGACCCAAGCTAGGCGCATTAGCTGTTTTCACACATGTACCGCAGTCCTGTCATTTTTCTGGAGATATTCTAAGAAAAGTTCCAGCAAATATCCACAGCCAGTTTCCAAGTAATATCACTGGAAAATTCACAAGTGAGCTAATGTGAATGTAGATGTTTATGTGCTCCAGTATTTATTGTGAGTGTATAAGTTAACATGCAGATATAGGAGCAGTTCTGACACATTCCATTTTACTAACTTGGGTAAATCAAAAACTTGTGCCTTTGATAGCCACATAAACTTGCATATATTCAGAGTGTATGCTCAAAAACATATTTCATCATGGGCTTGCAGAATGCATTTTGACAGAAAATTTAATCATATTAATTAGACTAAATTGTACTTTAATTTTAAAAGCAATTTATCTATATTTAATTTATGCTAGACTACTTTTATTCAAACAACTATTGCAGCTTAATTTACTTAAAGGGAACATATAGTGCAAAATTCCCATTTTTAGCCATGCATTTAGTTGTGTCCTTGGAGTTTCTAGGAGTGCAGAAAATTTTAATTTAGTATATCCTGGTGCTGCAAAGATATCTTTGTAATCTGTTTGGGTCATATTGTTCAACCCGTTCAGTTTTCATTATTTTCTTTGATGTTCTCTGAACTATTATGTCACAGCATTTGCGATGAAGCTTCTAAATGAGGTCTGGACTTACCAACTACAAATTGGTCATCTTCATACTCCTCTCACTCTGGGTCAAACTATGGCTCCAACAAATAAGGCTGGATGGACAAGTCTTCCGTTGTTGATATTTTTTTATTAAATATATAAAAATGAATTCCGTGTTGCTACATAGTTGTAAACCCCTCTATCAAACAAGAATGGACTGGTATTGAAACTGGAGGGGGGCAGGCTGTGAAGCACCTCGTTTGCATTTAAAGAAACAGCCTCAAAACAAGTTGATCTGAGACACACCTCAAAAAAGGTGTAACAAGGGGGCTTGTGGAGTTACAATAAAGAGGAATTCAGGCCAAAGTGTTGTAGTTCCACTTTATATACACCCCAACTGAATGATTCAAATGTGAAAAAGAAGGATTGAAAAGCAAGACATGTCTCCTTTAGCACTGAATTTGATTCAGATCATAATTCATTGTGTCTGTCTTTCATCCTTGCTCCGTTACACAAGCAAATTATTATAAAGTAGAAATAAATGGAGTTCGCCAACGGTGTGCTGAGCTTCATTAACACTACAGTGATTACAGTGTGCACCTATTCACACAAACAACATCTGGCAGAAATTACACACACACACACATACAGTAAACATAAACATACTGGTCTAATGGTCTTTAACACCTGTCTATATGCAGCTTATACATACTTACTGTGCTGCTAACAAACAACAAATGAGTTATACACTTTTGATGATAATGTCTGTTGTAGCCTGGCCCTTGCCTTCCTTTGCAGTTCCACTCAATTCTAGTTTCCCTTCACTGCTCCTTCTGGGATTTCTCCCATTGACAATAAATTTTTTCAGCAGAATTTCGTTCGGGCCAATTAGAGATCAGAAGGCAGAGTTTTGAACGACAAAGTGAATTTTCTGCCCAGTGTCTGCTGGTAGTTTATTTCACCTGGGCCAATCAGCAAACAGAAGGCGGAGTTTTGAATGACGTTAGTTTTCTGAGCAGTGTCTGCAAGTTAGCTAAACAATGGCAGTGGAGGAAGTGAATGAAGCCAGTCCGTGTTGATAAGTCTTCCAAATTTTATTAAATTTGTCTGACAAAGGAGCAGCTCTCATTTACAGTCGTCTCATTCGGCTCGGAACTTCTCTCCTCTCAGTAGGCTTGTTTACAGCGCACTCCATTTTCGGTTAGCTTCTTAGCTTAGCCTCCTTCACAGTGGAGCTGGCATACACATGTGTCACGGCCAACAGGTCCAATCATTTTATACTTCAGCAGAAGCCACGCCTCCAGCAAGAATCGCTTCTCACTAGCCGAGAGTCCAGACCCTCTATACGAAGTAAAGCGAAGGAAAAGGGTCTGGTTTTAACCAGGCTCTGTTGTTGATGGGCTTTAGAGTTTCTCCATCCATTTCCGCATCAGATTTGAGAAAACTGATCAATTTTCATTTCATGTAATTCGTTTTATTCATTTATTTAAAAGGAAAATGCACTTTAATGCCAGAACTAGCAGCTAAATGTTTCACATCGTCCAATTTTAGCTCATTGAGCTGTTATTTTTTTAAATTTTTTTGTACTTTGATTTAGGAGTTGGGATTTGTCATGCAGATATATGGTGATTGTTTGAAAGAACACAAGCAAACAAACTGCGCAGTGAATGGTTGATACAAAGAAACTTGAGAAATTGGTTCAGGGAAGTGTAAACATAACTGCATACATGTCACTCTTGCATATAATTGATACATTCTATATATTTCTGGCCAAACCGTTAATAGGGTGTAACCTACAAAACCTAAATATGACTACATACAAAAAAAAAAAAAAAAAAAAAAAAAAAAAAATCACACAAATGTTTGAAATATCTGTTTTTTTACACTGATCGTAATGTGTGTACCAGAGGCAAGTCTGGACTTGTCTAATATGCTGTGTGTAAACTGCCCTTTATTTTCCCTCTTGGAATGGGTGTTTTTTTGAGGCAGCTCCCCCTTTTCTTTCTCTGTTAACTCTGCTTTGGACCAGCTTCTCACTGGATACCACAGCTGCTGTCCTGCTGTGATGATGTATTTGTCTCCAACATTTTCAAACTTCCTATGTACATTCGGGTAAACTACAGGTCCTAAATGTAACTCAAATGTACATGAGCTATTGATATCTCCTTATAAAAAAATCAGAATTAGTAATATTTGTGTTTGTCAACTTGCTTTTGTTTATTATTCCTGCCTATAGATTACACCTGTTTAGAGTTGTGGACTGTCTCTGCACAGAAGTTTGAGATGGAAACAACTGTGGTGCCAGATGAACCAGAAAACCTTAAATAAATCTTTACATGCCAATGCACAAGAGAAATATTGCTGGAGTGAAGAAAAATAAACTTAACACTAATATAAAAAAAGGAAAAAAAAGAGGACAACTTCCCATGAATATGAATTCCAGGATATGGGAAAATAAACAGTGTTCAAACTACCCTGGTTACGACTGTGTATGACGAAGTTCAGGCCAAGTTTAGGCTGACAGGCACAAGATGAGAGGAACAAAACCAAGAAGTTCTTTATTTAGATAAAAACAAACTAAAAGAGACACAACTAGTTAGAAAACAGAAAACAAGTCAGAGCAAACTAAAACACAAACTTGACTAGGGCTAGTATCAAATCCAATAAAAAATACAATATAAATTTAAGACTTATTGACAGTTAATTCAGCATACTGTATTTAACAAAATGACAATTAACATTATTAAGTAGCATCACTAACAAGAGTGGAACCTGAATAAGTATCAGTATCAGTACAAACTTTTTTTCCAGTTAGCAGCTATCTAGCATAAAAGTCTGTGGTTGTATTTAATGCTTAACTTGTTTAATATAAACAACTAATAGAAATAAAATAAACAATGTAACAAAGTGCAAGAATAATCTTTGTTCATAATTGTCAAGGATTTTAGCTATTTCTTAAGGGGAAATATCTATGATTATCTGGCTATCAAAAGCAAATATTGGTCAAATAAATACAAATAACATTTAGTTTCAGGTAATTTCAGTCATTTTACTTGGATATGAAGTTATTATTTTATGGACTTTGTCAAGATATTATTAATCAAGCAGTAGTTTGTTATTTTTTCCAATGAAGTAATCTGAGTCTGCAAAGTGTCTCTGTGTTTGTCTGTTTGTCAAAGCTAAAGGTTGTAGAGGATTGATGTTAGCATTTTAAAGTGAGGAAATGTGCAACACTGTGGCAATAATCGGTAAAAGCCAGGTCCAGATATTTCTTAGAAAGCATAACACGTGCGTACTCTGACATTTCCTCAACTGTTTATTCACCGCTCTCTCAGGTCTGGATATTAATAAGACTGTTGGCCAACTCCAGCAGCAAGTCTGGACCTTTGCTTTGACATAGTCTAGTTTGTTTTCACAAGTTTCACTAATGAGAGCTTTAAAAAAACAGGTTTTAATCAGCATGTGTAAAAGAACGGTCTTCAGGATGAAAGTAAACTTGTGATCAAAAACGGGCTTTGGGCTAAATCTTGTAAAAAATACTTGGATTTGGAGACTCACATGCAACTATTGATATTGACCACTGATGAATTTAACTTACTTTATTTAAATTATAGAACTTGTTTTTTTATACAACTGTTATACTGTATGTCTCCAATAACTCAACCAGTCAGATGAATTACAACATGCTGCAGGGGTCAGTCGTAGCCAAGAGATATATGATAGTAAGTCAAAGGTTATTCATCTTTGATACTACTTCTACTCTAAACCTCAGGTCTGCATGGTTATTTTTGAGACCTTTTCATGTTTTTATATTCCTTTCTGAAGCAACTCTGGCTCGAACCTGGAGCCTCAGGATATTATGAATGCAGCACTGACCACTGAGCTACAGCAGCCCTTCTGTTTCTATAGGAATGTCAAATATTTTAGATTTTTAATTTATTGTATACAGCAGTAAATGCGTGGCTAAAAGGCTGAAATTCTATGGTCTCAATCTGTTTTTTATAGTTAGTTCAGATGACTGCTTCATTTATATCTAGGTGTGTATTGGATAGAATTCACGGTGGTTTTGATCCCCTGCTCTCATGGATTGGATTGACATCCATAGGTACATTTTTGCTTGGCTGTAACAGAATTTATTTTGCTTTAGGTTACACATATGGACGACACCTCTACTCTGTCTCCTCTTAAATCTTCAATAACATTAGCCACAGCGCCAAGGCAAGAGGGGAGCCCATCATAACAGCTGACATTACAAAATATTTTCAGTGGCTACAGCTTCTTTCTCTGCAAACCTAATGAAAATATACTCAGAAAGCCAGGACTACATGTGCGGAGCTCAGCCAAGCACTTGGAGCACCTTAGTTCTTTCGCTTCCAGCCTCCCCCGCTTTTTCTATCTCTTCTCTTCTCCACCGACTCTTTCTGTTTTTTTCTTTTTTTTAATTCACATCCACTCTGGCCACACACACATGCACGCACACACACACACATTTACAGTACAATAATAAATGTGTTGAGATAATGTGGCTTGGAATCCATATTCAATCCTCACTTGATTAAACACTGGAATTTTGCATGGTGCCCAGAAATGAGGTTAGCAAATGGCTTCGTTGGTTGCCAGCTTGGAATTGCACAAAAGGAAATTGAGGGAGAACATAGTGTCTACCGCTTGCTGGCTTCAAAAAAAGTGCTTGATGAATGTTAGTGTACGTCACTTGGGATAATGCGCGTTAGCAGTGTGTGGACTCCAAATATGGCAGGAGTGTGACTGTTTGAGGTTGTAATGACTGCGCTGAAGTGAGAGCCCTGCGCAGGGCCCCTCTCAGAAGCTACACACCTCAGCTCTGCCTTTCCTCTGCAGATGGACTCACAATGACCTCTTAGTTTCACCTCAACCTTGATGTCGCAAGACCTGTACAAACAGCAAAAACATGACTGATGCAAAGTTCTGTGCTCATCATCATCCAACATTGGAATTATTATTATTATTTTAAATTAGGCAACAAAAATGTTAAGGTAAAAACAGCTTCATGAATTTAATTTAAGGATATACAAATCGATTGTTTTTGACACACATGCATCTTCAAACACATTCGTTGTTTAGTATCATAAAAAATACAATTATTTTGAAAATGGCCAAAATAATGTTTTAATGTTGGATCTTTTTGAAACCTGTATGTTGTTTACAAGTCTTTTTGTAACTTGTCCCATAGGCCCGCCAGATGTGGAACAGGCATGTGAGCCAAGTGTGCGCACATGGAGCCCCAACGCAGGGACTGAGCAAGGTCTTGTTGGTCTGTCTGAGTGCCCTCCTAACGGCTGTATGCTTCAGCTGAAGTTCTTGTACCCTGTGGTACCTGATTCCTTGACCGTGTGGGTCACATTTTTCAGCCCTGAGGAAACGGCATTGCCTGCGATTCATGACATCTTGCTGCTGACTGTCAGTGGGAACAACGTTTCACTTGGCCCCAGTAATGTTTTCTGTGATACTCCATTGACTTTGAAACTGGACATAGCAGAAGAGGTGTATGGAGTAGAAATTTACACCATGGAGCAACACCTGGAGATTGACGCAACTCTATTGGCATCCAAGCCAGACTGCTTGCATTGCAGGCACTGTCAGCCGCTACGATACCGCCTGCTGCGCCAACCAGCCTTCACCCACTCACCACATGGCCTAATGCTAAATGAACCTATTCGCCGATTTACAGACAGGTGAGTCAACCGCTAGATCAATAACATCAGTCAGCACTAATGGACAATGTCAGCATATTTTAAAGGGGTCATATCATGCAAAATCCACTTTTTTTTTTAGCTGTTTAACACATTTTTTGCATTCTTAGAGTTTCTTAAAAAATTGAATTTAGTCTTTTTTCATCATTCCGAGTGATGCATAGATGTCTATATTTTATGGTCACATATTTTTTACTTGTTTTCTCTATTTTTGATATTTTCTAAACTTCTACATCATAGTATTTGCGACAAAATTGCCATATGGATTTACTAACTACAATTTGATGGTCTTCATTCTCCTCTCGCTCTGTGTCTGGCTCCAACATGTAAGACTAGATGGACAAGTCTTCCATTGTTGGTATCTTTTAATTCATTTCTAAACAAAAATTTTCTGCACTACTATGCTGTAAACTCCTCAATCAAACTAGAATTGATCGGTGTTTGCATTTATTTGTGACAGCCTCAAAATTAGTTGATCTGAGATACATTTCAGAAAAGGGGTGAAAGAGGGGTTTGTGGAGTTACAATAAGGAGAAATTCAGACCAAAGCATCGCAGTTCCACTACTGAATGATTTTAAAGCATGATATGTCTCCTTTAACTTTCTAAAAGATTTATACAACATGCTTTATTCTAATCTAAATAATAGAAAAGCTATTGAAAAGCTTTTTCTTTTTTGGATTTTTAAATAAAAGCCTAAAATTGCTGATTATTACAAAATTGACTTTCCTGCTTTTGTGTGAGGTAGGAGGATTTCTTTTTTAAAACCTGCCAGTAAAACGTGTTTATTTATCTGTGGAAAATATTCACTAAAATATGCTCATGTAATACCAGACATCCTTTTTAATACTCTCAGGAGTACTAGCAATTCACTGCTGCTTCTGCAATTTTAGATCTGCTTTCCCAACATTTATTTCCTGAGTCACAGGTCACTTGTTGCCCACATTTGTTGTTTCCTATGTTCCATGAAGCAAGGGCAAACAGATGACTTGTTGAAGGTATTGTCTGCACACTGGGATGAGAATCTTCTGCTTTTTCCATTGTGGAATGTGCTGACTTGATCAAAATTGTGCTATACATGGCACTGTTGTGTGTCATACCATCTCTCTGTCGTGTTATCAGAGTGCTTCGCTTGAGCGTGAAAGTGCCAGATAAGAGGTAACAGGGTGGGTGTGCATGTTATTCAAGACGAGAGTGATGACATCTGGTAAGTTCCATAATGGGTCTGTACACAACTTCCTGGTTTAACTGCAGTAACTGTGGAAGGGTGCCTACCGTATGGGATGTATTTATTTGGAGGTTTTGGCACACTTCACTGGCTGTTGATGTACTGTAGGTAGTTTTACTACTGTGGCACATTTCACTAGCTGTGGTTGCATTCCAGTGGTGGTGGTCAGTGGCAATGGCTGTATATTTTTTCTTATGAGACCATGTGAGATCTTGTCTTTTGGGTTGTCAGAGAAGCTCAGTATACAATAAATAAATGTTTCAGGCATGAACTTTTCTTTTTATACACGCAACCAAAAAGAGCTGTATTGTATTTGATTTGAATTTACGCCATTTAACTCTTACCTTTTGTTGTAAATCGACTTCTTTAGTAATGTTTTAGCTCTCATGCTTATTATTATTATTATTATTATTATT